TCCGGATGCATCAATCTTGTGACCAAGAGCTTCTAAGACATGTTCCGCAAAGGTACATTTATCTCGGTTTAGCTTGAGCCCATGTTGCCTAAATCGGTCTAAGATTAAGTTCAATGCTTGAATCAGTTTATCAAAATTGTCGGCATATACAATAATGTCATCGAAAAAACTTACGACATTTTCAAGTCCTTGTAGCACTGTCTCCATTCGTCTTTGCCAGATAGCAGGAATGTTGGCTGCGCCATACACTGCTCGTTTTGGCCGGATGAGACCATGAGTTGGAGTATTGAGCGTTAGTGCATGACTGAACTCTTCATCGACCTCGAGATGGGCGTAGGCGTCTGTAACATCCAAGTGGCAGAAAAGAGAAGCGCCCCGCATTCGGTGGAACAGGTGTTCGAACTTCGGAATCGGATGTTCATCGATGATGATCCTTGGGTTGAGTGTTGGCTTGTAGTTACCAGTGATTCTCAGTTTCCCATTCTTCTTGACGACAACGTGTGTTGTTGATGCCCACTCTGAATAATCGACTCTTTTGTAGAAGCCTGAAGAAATTTTGGACTCGATTTCCTTGGCGTACTCATCACGGAGAGCAACTGGGATATCTCGAGCACGGGCGAAGATAGGAGTAGCACCATTTTTCAAATGCATTTTCGCTGGTGGTCCTGAGATTTTTCCAGGGACGTTGCTGAATACGTCTTGGTACAGGTTGAGGATGTGGTCAAGTTGTCTTTGATGCTCTAAGGACAGGGGTTGTTTGACTGACAGATTATGAATTAGATCAGGTTTTGCAAAGAGGCGTTCAAAGTTGATCTCTTGGGCAAACTCAGAGATCCATTCTCGTCCAAGTAGCGTCTCACACTCTCCTTCAACTACGTAGAGGTATAGGTTGCTAGTGGTGGTACCAATGGTGGCGTTGACGGACGTCTTTCCAATGCAGTTGATGCGGTGACCCGTGTAACTAGCGAAGTGACGATCTGTCTTCTGTAACTGAAACTCTGGTTTGATTGTAGCTACTTTTGATTTGGCTATGATAGAGCATGGAGCGCCGGTGTCAAGTTCCATTTTGACAGTGGTTCCCTCTATGTTGACATCAATCAGCTTCTTTGGTGATGACTGGACTGTTCCAGTTACCTCTAGTTTACTGAGATGCTGCACGACATCAATGTTTTCTGCTGGTTTATCTTCAGTGATAAGATTTGTATCCCTTGTTGTCTTCGATCGACATACCTTGCTGATGTGTCCCTTCTTTCCACACTTGAGACAGTTGGCGTTGAGGAATCTGCACTGACTTCGAGGGTGATTTTCACCACAACCTGAGCATACTGGCTGATTGTCTTTGGATGTCTGATTTGATGGGTGATACCTTGCTTGATTTGGTGATTTCTGGTATCGGCGTGTTGATGAACTGTTTGGTCGCTGATTACCATTCTTTCGAAATGGAGGTTTTTCGTATCCAATCTTGTTCGTTGTATCTGGTTTGACGACAGCGGTCTTTACTTCGTCAGCAGTGTTTCGAGTGGCTTCGAGTGCGTAGGCAATTTCGTATGCAGCGGTGAAGTTCTCTGGCTTCTTGGCGATGATTTCGTCACACATTTCTCTTGACTCTAGACCTGCGAGCATTTGTTCAATCAACATTCTGTCGAGGAATGCTTCATATTCACAATAGGTTGCAGCTTGTCGCAGTCTTAAGGTAAAACTAACAATGGATTCTTCTGGTTTTTGCATGATGCTTCGAAATTTGATACTTTCAGCAAACTTATTGCGTGTTGCGTCGAAATGAACAGTAAGTTTCGTTTGAATTTGAGTATATGTTAAATATTCTGGATCTTCAGGACTGACAAGGATCTTTAAGGCATCGTTGAGCTCAGAACCCATATAGACACATGCATAATGAGAATGCTGTTCTTCAGGGATTTTACTCAGATTGAGCGCCCAGGTGAACCGTGTAGTCCGTGATTGAAGTTCCGTCGGCAGCGCGATACGCTTGCATGGAGAATTGGGGTGGTCGAGGCTGTGCTGATGACGTTTGTTCTGTTGGACCAGGTATTTGAGACTGTCGTATGGCATTGGCAATTAATCCCGATAGTTGTTGGAGTAATTCTGGTGTTACTTGAGCCATGTTGAACAACGTTTATAAACAGGAGACTTACCAAAGTGGCGATGTCTGTATTTGAGCACGAAGTTTGACGAGGCTGCGATGGCGTTCGTAGATTTCGTTTCTATGTTGCACTTTCACGAGTTTATATATCTATCACACTTCTGACACCACTTTTATGTTTCTTTGGGGGTTTATAGATATATAAAGTGTACTAAACTCTATTTTTATTTAAAATACCATTTCAAAATTACAAATCATTGACAACTAAACTTATGACATGAGCTTCACTATTTTTCAGGTATTCACAGGTGGAGGTGTACTCCGATAAATATATAACATATACAATGTATTTTATTAATAGTCTTCTGAAATAACTTAACCATGAACGTATTTATTAAGATTCTTGGCGCCAATAAAATTTTTCTATTTGCCTTGTTCATCTTCTCTAACTTTTCAGAGTTTAGAGTCAGATAGTAAACGTAGTTTCAGTCAGATAGTAGACGTACTTTTCATGGTCAGATTGTAATAATTTATTAAATACTATTAATCTAGTTACCAGGAATTACATTTTTTTTCAAATTAATTTTCCCCATCTTCTTCCACATGTAAAAAACAGGCCATTAATGGTTTAACAAATGAAACAGAAATAGGTATAAACTTACTTTGAAATGCTTTGAAATCACGTTCATAGCTTAAGAGAAGTTTTCTGAAAAAACAGCATTTATGATTTTCCATCTTTTTCGGCGTGTACAAAAACATTTTATCCAACACTAGAACAATTAATTTATTAACATTATTGAAAATAGTTTAAATGTAAATTTAATTTAAAATCAAAATAAACAATTGTAAACAATGTCAATTCACCAAGTTTACTTCGAGACGAAAACCAACAAATCATATTGGCGAAGGCTACATACGTCATCGCAGCGCGCGTAAGTGTGAAATTCAAACTTTTACCTCATTTTTTGGCCTAATATTAAGTTGTATATAAAAAGGCTAAGTAACAAGCACTAATTAGGTTGAAATCTGCATAATTACGTGGAAATTGAAAAACATGAAACATGCCTATTCATTTGATCGCCTATTAAGAATAACTTCACTAAGTGAAAATAATTTTTTCTACGACTAGCCTAGAAAATACAGTTTGATACACGGAAAACTTGATCTGAAATTGGCGTTTTGCAGATTGTTGTGTGCTAAGGATTTAGCGCACGACATGTGTCATTTTGCACACGACATGTGCCAATTTTATCATTTTTAACCTCCAATGTTTAGCTGAAATGCCAAACGCAACGCAGCCGTCAGAAAAGTGTCATAATTACATTGCAAATTATTTCACAAAACTGGCAAAAACTGAGTGAGTCTGCTGCTAATTTGTAGTCGTAGAAAAAATAGCGTAAAAAACTCGTTCGAAAATTTCTTTGTACACTCGTTCGACTTGTGGCTCTTGCCTGCGGCTCGGCGAGCCAACAAACTGTCGAACTCGTGTGCAAAACGTCGTTTTCGAAATTCGTTGTTTAACATACTATTAAGATTTTAGTTTAATAGTTATCGGGGTTTTCATATTAACTTTCAGTTTAGAAAAAGTTTTTAATTAATAAATGCAAAATTAATGTTAAAATTAGGATACAAACTTTTCGACTGCGGATTATTGTTTATTCATGTATCCCAACACTCCATGAATTTTCTTATTCCTTAATATTAATAGTTAGTATGGTTAAATATTTTTTTAAGTTGTTGTTTTGCAATGCGCGCGGGAGCCAAACTACCCGTTTTTAGCTCTGCTTTCAGGGCTCTGTAAAAATTATAAATATTTAATTTTTTTTCAAATATCAAAAATCTTCAATATTTTTCGAGATATTAAAAAAAACACACTTTTTTTCACTTAATTGTTAATAACTTTAGTAATTTTTTCAGCTCCTTTTTGGACTTTTTCGTAAACTTTTTAGGTGACAATACGAATCGAATGACACCACATTCGTAATTTCGGAGAATATTGAAAAATTTTACTAAAAATGGTACATGTGAACCAGACTATACCGGGTGCGTCTCAAAAGTGGCTCACCCCCTATAACTTTTTTATTTTTTCAGATAAAAAACGAGATTTGGTATGTTAGTATTTGACATAAATTAGGATTGATTGACGTATTCATTTGTTTTTGGTCACATCCTGTTTCACCGGAAATGACTATAACTTTTGATTTTTAAATGGCACCCTCGGTATATTTTTACTTTATTTGATAGAAAATGAATCACTCTGAATAGAATAACATATGATATATTAACTTTTGACATTGTTGCATATGGTTTATTTGAAATGATAACATGCGGTTCATAACGACAATTTGATTCGAAATTCTGTGTGTGGTATCAAACTCTTCGTAAAAAAATACTTTTTCCGAATATGCTAATAAGCCACCCTTGTTTCAACCATGTTAAATTGAGATATGATAAAAAAATACGATATCTTTTAACCGGCCAGGACAAGACGCGAAAAACATTAGACGATCAAATCTATTAATCCAAGACTCCTTGATTAAAAATTAGTGTTTTTAACACACCTCTAGATTTAAATTTAAAATACAATTTTTGTTTAAGCGAGAAAGTCAAAATTTGACATATGATATGTCATTCTCTTCAGAATGTCATTTTCTATCGAATAAAGTAAAAATATACCTAGGGTGCCATTTAAAAATCAAAAGTTGTAGTCATTCCCGGTGAAACAGGAAGTGACCAAAACAACTGAATACGGCAATCAATCCTAATTTATGTCGTATAGTAACATACCAAATATCGTTTTTTTATCTGAAAAAATAAAAAAGTTATAGGGGTGAGCCACTTTTGAGACGCACCCGGTATAATCTTATTCTATTACGAATAAATCAGGACTAAGGCAATAAAAACAGGTAGAACATATAACTTTTTATTTATTTCCTTATTTATGTGACTAAGTTTATTTCGAACTGACGGGATTCCAAGAAAAGGAATCAAATATAATAAACGACTTTTTCTTTCAAACAAAACTTACTCCTGAGATTCCCACAGCTGTTGCTTGGGGTCGGAAAAAATCAAAATTAAATCAAAAAGTTACATACAATAAATTGACCGTTCGCAGATTGCTTGACCTAGATATTTATTTGACATCCGTCGTCCCCTCTGTATGTCAGTGACGACCAGTCCTTGGAGACATTAGGGCAGGTAACATTAGAGAAAGAAATAAATACACTGATATATGTTCTTAGTAAACTTTAACCCTTGTTTATATATTCTTTTTAACTAAACATATATTACCAACTTCAAGTTTAATGATGTTTCGTTTAATTTAATTTTTCAAATTTTGTTACCTACTACTTTTTCTAACTTGTATTTGTGTTTCTTAATATTTTAAACTTTAGGTTTATGATTGATATACCCCCTACAAAGTCATGTATGCTAAATTGAATTGAAGATTTATTTATGATTTGAATTAATATACAGTGTGTCCGAATAATCCGTCGACATAGAACTATTACGTACTTTTGGAATCAAAATAAGTTCATTGGAAGCAATTTACCCCTATACAAGAACCGTTATTCCGATTTGAATTAGATTTCGGACGCCATGTTTTGCTAAGCACTTTAACACTTGACTTGAACGTCAACGGTTTCTTGTAGACGTATCTGTTTTAAAAAGTAAAGAGTTCTCGAATAGTTGAATTTAAATATTTTAAATAGTGTTTTTCTTTATTCTTTGTATTTTTTTGCTTCCGACGACGGAAAGAGATAACTTCCCGAAACGTTAAGCATTTTTTTTTGCTTTGTTAGGCAAATTTTATATTACCGTAAACATAACTTCTGACAAGCAGCGTCCGCTTAGGTTTAACGCAGAAGTGTTTACAAAAACAATTATTTTATTTTGTGGATTTTCTTGCAGTGCAGTGGCGAAATACCCATACAGGATTTTTTGGAAAAATTAAAAATTGTGTTTATTTTTTTTGTAAATTTGATGCCCTCTAACGGACAATCGAAGCACTTTTTGTCTTTTGTATAGAGGTAAATGATGACCAAATAAACTAGTTTTGATTTCAAAAATACGTAGTATTTCTATGTGCACAGAGTATTGGGACACCTTATTTAACATATCTAGTCTCACAAATTATACAAGGTGAGTCTTAAATAAGTGTAAATATTTTCAGGTATGGTAGATCTCGATAAAAGAAACATATTTTCTCTTTACCATTTTAATAGGTCCAAAATAACCGAGTTATTTAAGTTTGAAAATTAAAAAAAATTAAAAAAAAACAGCTCCGAAAAATTTAGAAAGCCACCGGATTTTTTCTGTATTTGCATCCCTTGTAGTGCCGTAACCATAGAGTGGCTGTAACTATGGTAATATCAGAGATTAAGAAATTATACCGTGGGAAAATTTGCGGTGAACAGGCAATTCTAAAAAGTTTTCGAAAAATATACAGGGAAATTTAAAAAGAAAATGCGCGATTTTCAATACCTTTTTTTGCGAAAAACCTCATAGATGTGTTCCTGGGGTCGAAATATACCACCCCTGAAAATATTTGCACTTATTTAAGACTCACCCTGTATAACTAATCAAAACGAATTAGGGACCACATAATCATTATTATAGCAGCATATCATCAGAACAATTTTTGTTTATTTTCATGCATAAATTGATACAAAAACGAAATACTTTTCCCTCATAAAAAATAAAAGACGCACTCGAAAACGTATAAATTCCATAAAATCAATTTCTTATTTAGTGTGATTTTACTTTCTTGATCGTCAAAGTTGGTGTTAAATATGGCAAATTTTAATATTTTGGAAGGCCAAACGGTGTTAGAAGACGTTTAAATACTGAAGAAGTCATCAGAGCCACAACTTTATTGCAGGAGGGTCGGTAGCAACGATATGTGTCGCAGCTTTTTCGTGTTACACAATCGGTCATTTCAGACTATGGAATCGATACAGAGAATATA